TGAGTGATGGAAAGGCTGAAGTTATTATGAGGATAAAGAACATGGTTAGGTAGTAAGACATTGTTGTTTCTTCTTTATTTTTAAAGAGGATCAATGATATCATGGGAAGATGTCTTGACTTGGATTTAAGTGAGGCGGAGTTGTGCACAATCATCAGCTTCACTCTCTTCCAGAGTCATCGAAGTTCAGTGGCAGGACAAAGTCAAGACGACAGGTCCAGAATGTGGTACATAACCTTGTTGTCTTCAATGCCTGAACGAGCTCTAAGCATTCTACAGCAAAATGCTTCAGCTGCCTTCATGGTTGTTAGAACAAATTGTTCTGACCCATTCATTCTGCTGGGGGACGTCTTCGCACGTTTGGGGTAGATATTCCCCTAACTCATTGAAATTGTCAATTACCCCTAATCCAGTTTAGCCTGCTTGCTTAGATGGTTTTATCGGAATGTGACTGTTGGACATGCTACAGCTTCTTGGAGACACAAGTGAGAGTCGAGTGACTGGTTGGACACCAAAGGTGGCTTAGCAGACCTGAAAATGGCAAACCCTCACATTAGAATGGATAATCCTCCTGAACACCCCATATACTCCTCTATACTACTCCACCTGATAATCTAATCAGCTCTTAATTATCGTTTCTCTACTGATGATGCTCAAATCTATTTAGCCAGACTTAACCTTTCTGTTGATCCCTAATCTCACAGCTCCAACTGCCTCTCAGGCATATTAAATTGAATGTCTAGAGTATATGTGAAATGAAACATATCCAACAATGAACTCATTATCTTTTCTTCTAAACCCTTTCCCCTTCCAAACTTCTCTCTTACTGTCGAAGGCACCACTACACTCACAACTGAGGTATCATCCTGGACTCCTTATTATGTTTCACATCCCATATGCAATCTGTTCCCAATGCCTGTTGATTTCACCTTTGCAACATCTCTTAAATATGTCCATATCTCTCCTGATACTTCCAACACTTTGGTGTAGATCCTCATCACTTCATGCCCGGACTACCGTAACACCCTGCTGGTTAATCTAGCTGACGTGAGTCTAGTTCATCCTCCATTCTGTTTCCAAAGTGAATTTCCTGAAGCATCTCCAACCATATCACTCTCACACTCAATAAATTCCAATGACTCTCTAACACCATCTCCCTGTTTCCAGCCTTCTGACACCTTACTCCCCATCATGTATTCCTTGATCCAGTAACGCTGGTCTCCTCGCTTTTCCATGAACAAGACATTCCTTCTCTCAGCTCTGGGCATTTTCACTGGTTATCCCCCATGCCTGGAATGACAGTTTATCAGATAAGACTTCTTTAGTAGGGGCATGAGCTATTTTAAATATCCTTTCCTCTTTTAAAGGAAAGCCATCAGTATTATTTCTCTTAATAAGACAGGTTGTCATGGAGAACATGATGTTTTTGCCTAGGAAGCTCCTAGGGAGCTCTGCTTGACTGTCTACAGGAAATCTGGGGATAGACTGAATTTGTACTGTCTTCTTCATTTTTGTACCCAGATGCTCTCAGGCAATGATCTTATTTTTATTTTTAATGCATGCCAATAGGGAAGATAAATACTTGGTATGTAGGTCAGTTTTTAGTTCTGTTTGGTTTAGAAAATAAGAACAAGGCCCATCTAGCCACTCACATTTCACCAATCTCTGAATCTGAATGCTCATATAGACATGCATGAATACTTACTCTACGTCTCCCTTATTGTAATATGATAAGGATGGATAATAACAATTCATATTTATGTGCTATTTTCCCCTTACAAAAGGCTTTGTGCTATTTCCTTGTCACCATGTTCCTCACCCTCCTCACTGCATAGTCTTCCAGATTTTTGGAGTAACTTAGAGGAATCCAGGGAAGGTAGGTGCCGCAGCAGAGTCCTGGGCCTGGAGTCAGGAAGACTCATCTTTATGAGTTCAAATCTGGCGTCAGATACTTACTAGCTGTATAACCCTGGGTAAGTCACTTAACCCTGTTTGCCTCAGTTTCCTCATCTGTAAAAGGAGCTGGAGAAGCAAATAGTAAACCGCTCCAAGAACACCCCAGGGGGGTCACAAAGAGTCAGACAATAGCAAAGCGTGGATTGATTGGAGTGTGTTCTTGAACTGACATGGCTCAGCACAAAAGGATAGAACACGGATTTGCTGTACATACCAAACCAAGGCCCCTAGAAATGGAATGTAGTTGGCTGGCTGGTGAGTGGAGGAATAAGCATTTATATGGCACCTACTGTGTCAGGTACTGTGCTAAAAACTTTTACAAATATTATGTCACTTGATCCTCACAAAAACCTTTCGAAGAAAATACTGTTATTATCTCTATTTTACAGTTGCGGAAACCGAGGTAAACAGAGGTTAAATGACTTTCGCAGGGTCACAAAGCTAGTAAGCATCTGAGGACATTATATACATTCAGTCACAGTCCACTGTCCTTTCAATCCCATTAACCTACAGAGCTCTAGCTAAAGCTGATCTCGTGTCCCCTTTTCCCTAGGGTATCAAGTCAGCAGCAATCAATCAATCAATCCCCAAGCATTTAATAGGGGCACTGTGTAAAGAGCCAGAGGAATTTTTAAAAAGAAGAAAAAAGAAAGAAAAACAGTCCCTGACACGGAAGGCAACTTGTTCATAAATAGATATCTTATAACATACATACAGAGTAGATGGAAAGTAATCATAGAGATGAGTCACTAACAGCTGGGGGGATGGGCAGAAAAAGCCTCATGGGAGAGATGCTGCTGGAGCTGAGCATTGAGAGATGCAGAGAGGCAGAGCATCCAGACACTGGAGCTATCCAGAACAAAGGTACTGAGGTGGATATGGGACATTATGTATGAGGTACAGGAATCAGGACAGTATGGCTAGATTGTAGAGCACGTGGAAGAGAGTAATATGTAAGAGGACTGGAAAGACAGGAAAGGTCCAAGTTGCCACTGGAATTTATATCGTATGGGGTTGAAATGTTTAGACCTGCATTTGAAGGAAATTATTTTGGCAGCAATTTGGAGGATGGATGGTAGTGAGGAGAGACTTGGGCAGGGACTAGGCAAGAGGTAATGAGAACCTAAAGTAGGGTGATAGTTTTGTGAGAGGAGAGAAGGGAAGGTTTCCAATATTGTTGTGGAGACAGCAAAGAAGATCTGGTAAGTGATTGGATTTATGTAGTGAGTGAGAGTGAGGGGTCAACAATGACACGAAGTTTATTAACCTGGCTCACTGGAAGGATGTTGGTGCTCTGGACAGTTAAAAAAAGAAAGTTCAGAAGAGAGGGTTTGAGGTAAAAGATGATGTATTCTGTTTGAGATTCCTACAGGACATCCAGTTTAAAATGCCCAATAATAGATGTTCATGTGGGACTAGAGAGCTTAGAAGAGACAGCACAGCTGGGGATCGACTGTATAGATAATAATTTAACCCACAGGAGGAGGGGGAGGGGGTGCTCTGGGAGGCTTGAAGAGAGAAGTGGAGAGCTTAATCATCATTTGAACTAAGAGTGAACCCAGGCAGAGTGGTTGGAACTTAGACTGACCGTGAACTGAGCACAATGCAAAGTAATTTAATTCACAAATTCTGCCCAGGTGGCTCTTTACCAGCTGGACCCTTCCTAACTTCTCAGTCTGTTCACATATCCCTCCCTTCCACTCACTATATAGTTTAGCCATACTGGTTTGCTTTCTGTTTTTCATGCATGATGTTCCATTCCTGATTCTGTGCCTTTGTGTGGGACAGCTTCCATACTTGGAACATTCTTCCTCCTCACCTTCCACTCTTCCTGAAGAATTTCCAGCATCTCTCAAAATTCAGCTTCAGCACCATCTCTTCCAGAAGGCTTTTTCTGATTCCCCCAGCTGCTAGTGCCTTCCCCTTTAAAGTTATCTTCCATCTAGTCAGTTTGTATATTTATGTACAAGTTAACTTTCTCATTAGAATTTAAGCTCCTGGAGGGCAGGGACTTTTTTCCCCCTTTTCTTCCTTCCTTCCCTCCTTCCTTCCTTCCTTCTTTTTCTTCCTTCCTTCCTTCCTTCCTTCTTCCTTCCTTCCTTCCTTCCTTCCTTCCTTTTCCTTTCTTTCTTTCTTCTCTTTCTTTCTTTCTTTTTTCTTTCTTTCTTCTTCTTTCTTTCTTTCTTTCTTTTCTTTCTTTCTCTTTCTTTCTTTCTTCTTTCTTTCTTTCTTTCTCTTTCTTTCTTTCTTCTTTCTTTCTTTCTTTCTTTCTTTCTTTCTTTCTTTTTTCTTTCTTTCTTTCTTTCTTTTCTTTCTTTCTTTCTTTCTCTTCCCTCTCTTTTTCCTTCATTTTTTGTATCACTCTATCTTTCCTATTCTTTTTGTTTCTTTCCTTTTCCTTTCCTTTTTTGTTCCTCTAGCTTTTCACACAGCACCTAACTACAAGCTTCCTTTATTACCTGCTTGAGGAATGATTAATTTTTGTTGATTTGGCACTCTGGGGTAGACCAGCTTTTTCCAGAGCTATGTAGGTTAATGAGGTTTGGAGAAGAGTGGACAGTTATTGGCCACTCTGTGGCCACTCCCTCAACTCACAGATTGATGTCTCCAGAAGATCAATTGACTACTACTCCAAAGGTTCTAGGGACAACCCCAAGGGACTGGGTTTTTAATAATGTTACTCATAAGCCCCCACCAATGCTGATTATTAGCAGTAGCCTCAACTAGCTTCTAGCAAAGACTAAGGTAGTATTGTTAGAATGCAACATTTTCCTTATACCAGAGGCACACTCTCCAACTGCACACACGAGGTCCCTGGTGAGAGTAGACTAGAATTTCGAGGACAAAGACAGTGAGGCACACTGACAAGCCCTGGCACTGGAAATCCTTTTCTCACTTTGTGGAGTCCTTGTGTAGTTCCCTTTAAGTGTCGCTCTTTTCTCATCTTACTAGGAGTTCCCGGGGAGCTATCTCCAGTCATCCTGATCTGTATCTTGCCACTGGACCCAGATGGCTTCTGAGGAGAAAGTGAGGCTGGTGACCTTGCACAGCCTTGTCTCATTTAAATCCAATTCACTTGCAAGTCATGGCATCACCTTCCTGATGTCATGGTCCTCTTGAAGAACGAAGGACCAACAAGAAGGAGTTTCCTACACCAATGAACTCACAAGAATGAACAAAAAACAAACTGAAACAAAATAAACAACCTGTGCAAGTGACTGATAACAATTAGTAGATTCAAAGCAAAGCTCTAATATAAATATTAGGTTTATTCAGTGGTTGTTTGTGGGAAATTCTCCTAGAGGAATGAAAACTTCTAATTACTTTCCATTCTTCCTTTCTCTTCTCTCTTCAGGAGATACTGCTTGATTTTGCCTTTGGTATATCACCTCCATCTTCTCGATGGTGTGTGCCATCATTTTCCAATTGGGAATACTCCTGTATTCCTACCAGAAGAGGTGACACCAGTGGTATGCTAGTGTTGAACAACCTTCTCCCTATAAAAAAAAATGCAAGTCACACTTCTAAGTTTAATTAGCATTCATTAACATTTTTCCCATCACTTCTTGAAGTCTAGATACTGTATTTCACTGCATAACTGTAGCAGGTTTTATGCCTTTTTGTGGAAAAGTAGACTGCGACCATTACATGAAGCTTTTAAAATTTTTTGTGCTGATATTTCTGAAAAACCATTTATTACTAAACTATCTGGTGCAAATTTAGGATGCACAGAATACTCGTGAATATACTTCAAAATCGAATACTGACAATGCAGGTGTACTGAGAATTCTAGGCTCACTGCTCACAATTCGGGAGAGATAAATGCGTATCCATATGATGCTAGTGAATATTGCTATTCTGTTTACCTTTTAAGTGGTGTGATGAACAAAATTATACCATGTGACAATTATGAAATGAAAGATTATTAACCAGTTTTTCTACTGAAAAAAAGGGTGTGACCATTATGTGGTGGCAACGATTATGTGGTGAAATACAGTAATCAAAATAACAAATCAAGTCCTGATTTATAACATTTGCTAATTTTTCAGGTGTAAATGCTCTCACTGAAAATTTAACAGTCAGATCCCTTGAGCCTATATGAGTCAGCTCAAGCACATTACTGGGTGGTATTTGAAGTAGACTTCAAAGGCGGGGTAGAATTGGGATAGACAGAAGGCAATGGTAGAAAGGAGAGGAACAGAGCATGAAAAAAGGCAAAGAAATGGGCATAAACATGTTGTGTTTGGCAAATATTATCATCTGTGAAGAAGGCTGAAGGCTCACAAGGCTGAAATATGAAAGGCAACAGAAAATTATTTTAAATGAACACTATTTTTTGGAAATTCTGATTAAAAAAAAGTAAATACAATCCTCATGGTCCTTTCAAATGCTGATGTAGTACAACTTCCAAATAAAATTGCCTCTTACATTCAGATAAAATTGCTCTGGAAAGTTTCCAAAGTACCCAAAGCATACAACTTCATTGTCTTCAAAGCTAACTCTTGACAGGAAACAGAAATATAGCCAGACTCCTATTTCTAGGGAAATGAAAGCAAAGAATGCGGGAGAAAAAGTGTTATCTAAAATTGCAGAACTAGATTATTCAGGCCCCAGAGACTCAACTTCACTAAAAGAAATATTTTTGTTCCTTTTCCCATACCATAATACCCCCAAAAGGGATTAAACAGGAATTGAACTTTTGAGTCAAATAATTTCCAAAAATTCATAACTGGATACAGCAAGGATAGTAATGTATTAAGTCACTAGGAATGCTTGAGAATGGTTTAAAAATGCTCAAGAACATAAGGGAGTTAATTTGAACCCTAAGATCAGATTTTTTAAAAAATACAAAATTTTAATACCTTTTATTTCAAAATCAATGTAATTTCCAGATATGTCCTTTATTGCTTTCCTTTCCAGAGAGGAATCCTGATGACAGAATAAAAAAGAATGGAGAAGCAGCAGAGGAATGCAGTTCAGCAAAATTAACCAATCCATCAACTAAGTTTGACATTATATGCAATGATCCATACCCACAGTCCTCCACTTCTAGAAGGTGGAAATTCATTTTTTTTTCTTTTTATCAAGCCAACTTTAGTCATTATCATTCAATTTAATCAATTAATTAATAATTATGTTAATTAATTAATTCAATTTAAACTTCATTTCTGTTTTTTGTTGTTGGTGTTCTTTCTATCTACACTGTAGTAATTGTACATATAGTTTCTCTGGTTCTTTACCTTCTGTGTCTTCCCAGGCTTCTCTGTGTTCTTCCTATTCATCATTTCTTAGAGTTGAAGAAATTATAATTATAATTACTATAACATTTATAACATAACAATAGAATCTGACAATATAATAATATGCTATAATATTTTTAATAATTAGAAGTCTATTATAATGATATATCACAATTTGTTATGTTTCCATCCATTAAGCATCATAGGATCAGATTTTTATTAGAGTTATGATGGATTTTAAAGAGCAACTCTTTCAGTTTACAAATGAGGAAACAGAATTCTGATGAGGTTGGGTTAAGGTCAGATAACAAGCAAGTGGCAGAACTAGGTTAACCCAGCTCTTCTGATTTCTCAGTCTTTATACCTTCTCCTACATAAATACGGTTGGATCAGTCTGACAGAACCCTGGACTGATAGCTGGGTCCAGGAACATATTTGTAGGGGGCTAAGCCTGATTCAGGCTGGTCCCCTGGTAGGTTAAGGTCCGATACCAATAAGGTCCAAATAAAATGACTCATAGAACAATCAACAAAAGCAAAGCAAAAGGTATACTTAGCCATCATGTAGAAACGATATATCTATAACATCATGTACATGTATATATCTACAATATATAATAATTTCTATAAGGAGGCAGCAGTGGATAGAGTACTGGGCCTGAAGTTAGGAAGACTCATCTTCCTGGGTTCAAATCTGCCCTCAGACATTTACTGGCTCTGTGACCCTGGGCAAGTCACTTACCCCTGTTTGCCTCAGTTTCCTCATCTGTAAAATGAGCCAGAGAAGTAAATGGCAAACCCCTCCAGTATCTTTGCCAAGAAAACCCCAAAACAGGTCACAAAAGAGTCAGACATGATTGAAATGACTGAACAATAATACAATATAAAGGACACATAACAAGATTACAGCATCTAGTTCAGGGAGATGTGCCTTCTAGCTCCCAACTCCAAATGGAAGCTGATCTGGTCAGCAGCAGGGCAGGGTGTGGTGACTCCTAGGACTTCGGTCATCTACCAAATCTGAATGGTCTTTGATTCCATGTAGGTGGGCCTTTTTACCCCCTCACGTGAACAGGAATCCATGAAAACCTGCTCTAAGGCTACAGGGGAATCTACCAAACAAGGAAAACTTGGGCTTTAGACCCCTGGGCCAACCAGGTCTTGAGGACAATATCTTCGCTTTTAGGAAAAGGGGGTGGAGTTGGGGAACCCTGGCCTATTACAATATGAAACAAAGAAATATAGTAGGCCAACTTCACCAACTCACCTTCTTAATTAGAAGAGTTTTTTAAGAGCTTTTTTTTTGAGCTCAATTTTTTTAGAGCTCATTAAATGCTTCAATGGATGTGTGAGCTCATCGAAGGTGGATGCTCCCTCTCATAGTTCAGATTGCAATTCATTTTGTGTAACTCTTGTCTATATTTTCCCATAGTTTCTCCTAAACAAGCTTACCCAATATGTTGGAAGACTTGTTCTGAGTCTCCTAATTTTTCAGGGGTTCCAATGTATCAGTTTTCATCTCTAACTCTTAATCTCACTCTCACTACTTGACCTGGCACCTCTCTTTAAATATCCCTAGTGGTTCACTCCCATGAAACAGGCAGCAACAGTCAAAACAGAGAACAGGCCATTCCTCTGGAACCATGCCAATGTCTAGCCTGGAAAGTACTGGCCTAGATTAGAGTTGGAATAGTGGGCAGTCTGCCAAGCACCCCTTGGCATCCCAGAACACGTTAATAATGTCAGAATTTGGTGAACTCTGGGTCTGTGAGTTCTAAAATATACGACAAACTTCGTAGTCCCTTGAGATCTTAATTCAGAAATGATTACATCCAATGACGGATGCTGAAATCTAAGACCACACAGTCAAAGAAAAGCATAGGTTGGAATAATCACCCATTTAATTTGGAGAGAATAAAAAAGTCAAGTTTAGGACCTGTTTATTATTATTATTTCTTCTTCTATGTTTCTCCTCCTCCTCCTCCTCCTCCTTCTCCTCCTCTTTCTTCTTCTTCTTCTTCTTCTTCTTCTTCTTCTTCTTCTTCTTCTTCTTCTTCTCTTCTTCTTCTTCTTCTTCTTCTTCTTCTTCCCCCTGAGAAGTAATGACTCATTCAGGCTCACAAGGCTAGTTCATCTCAGTATTAGTGCTAGAATGCAGGTCATTTGACTCCTTAGCTGGTAACTTTTATTCCACATAATTTTCTCTGTGTGGGTATGTGTGTGTGAGAGTGTGTGTGTGTGTGCGTGTGTGTGTGTGTGTGTGTGTGTGTGTGTGTGTACAAGTAAAGACAATTTTTCTGGAAGAAAATTCAGATATAGTACTAGTGTGGGAGCAAGTTCAATTTTCTTAATAGAGAGAGACAGGGTCACATAGTGGGTGAGTGCCAGATTTGTAATGCAATGATAGAGTGCTGGCCTTCAAATCAGGCGGACCTGAGTTCAAATCTGCCCTCAGACACTTACTAGCTGGGTGACCCTGGGCAAATCATTTAACGCTGTTTGCTTCAGTTTCCTCATCTGTAAAACAAGCTGGAGAAGCAAATGGCAAAATGTCTTTGCCAAGGAAATCCCAAGTGAGGTCACAGTCAGACACAATTAAATCAACTAAACAACAAGAGTTGTTTTCAAATTTTGCATCAAAAAACTTACTGACCGTGTTCTCTGGTCTTAACTTGTCACTTATGCTCTCTGAAACTCAATTTCCTCGCTTCGTAATAGGTAAAATAATAGCACCTATCTCACAAGGTTGTTTTGAGACTGAAATCAGAATATGTGTAAAATGTTTCGCAAACTTGAAAGGGCACAAAGCACCATTTCCTAAGAGCTGTGATCAGAATTTTCAAAAGTAATGCAAACTCTTTACAATCATATGAGATAGCCAAATCACTAATGCATAATAACAGAGATGAAACTCAAAACGACTGCCAATAAATGGGCAAAGATGACAAAAGATGAGAATGGTAAATGTTGGAAGGACCAGGGAAAGACAAACACATAAGTGTACTCGTATTTGAGCTGTGAATTGATCTAACCATTCCGGAAAGCAATTTGGAATTATGCTAAGCAAATGACTTAACATGTCCATGCCTTTTGACCTGGGATCCCACTATGAGGCATTTACCCTAAGGATGTTATTGATAAAAAAAAAAAAGGGTTCCACACGTGCCAAAATATTTATAGCTGTCCTTTTTGTAGGAACAAGGAATTAAACACAAAGTAGAAACCCATCCATTAGGGAATGGCTAAACAGCTTATGGTATTTGATGTTACAGAATGTTGCTGAGCTCTTAAAAATGACTCCAATGAATATGAGGGTTTGACCTGCGTCCAGATCACCTAAAATGGAGGCACCCCCATGGAAGACACCAAAGATGTGCTTCTGTGAGCTAGGAGGCCTGGCATACAAGTGGACATCCTATGACTTGTTTCTAGAAAGGACCCCATGCTCTGTGTATTCCAATCCCCAGTAAAGTGATTTGTCCAAGGTCACACAGGCAACAGCTGCAGGATTTTAACCCAGGTCAGCTGACTCTAGAGCTAGAGTTCCTTCTAATGGATCACGTGATATGTTGGTTAGTTTTTCCCAACTGTTTTGCTCTCCCATCTCTTTTGTTCTTTGCTATAAGGTACAACTCTCTGGAAAGTGGGCTGAGAGAACTGAAATTTTGTCGTAAAATATAGGTGATGAAAAAAACAAAAGGCTATCAGTACAAATTTTTGAAAACCTTAAAGGGTTAAATAAATGTGACTTTTTTTTTTGAGACAAGATGACTTCTATAAAGTTCAGTTCATTTTTTTAACATAAAATATCCAGGGCATACTGTACATGTGATCCTTACTGGGGGAAGATTTTATTCTCCTCAGAAATTTCAGGGGCCACTAGATGACACAGTGCATAGAGCGATGAGTCTGAAGTCAGTATAACCTGCATTCAAGTCAGACCCCAGACACTTACTAGCTGTATGACCCTGGGCAAGTCACTTGACCTCTATCTGCCTCAGTTTCCTCATCTGCAAAATGGGAATCATAATAGCACCTACCTCTTAGCGTTGTTATGAGGATCAAATACGATAACATCTGTCAAGCACTTAGTACATAGTAGGTGCTTAATAAATCTTATTTTTAAAAAATCCTTGAAGTCTTAAATCCTAATGTTAATTGTCTCAGTCTCATTCAGAATACATGAAGGATCTGTGATTTCAGCCAAGGGAGCCCTTGACTATGACTTAGTAAAATAAATAAAGAAAGAGAGAAGTTCTATGGAATTGCTTAAGACACTGTTATATGAACTGTCTAGGAGGGTCACTCAGCTAGTAAGGCCCAGTGATAGTATTTGAACCCAGGTTTCCCTGGCTCTAAGCCCATCACTTTATCTGCCATGCCATGCTACTTCTCCGACCTTAGGATGTTAACAATTCCACTAGTCTGTCTCTCACTGCCAAACTTGGGGGAAGGGGAGGGGACATTGGATTCTTTATGGTTCTAAAAGATAGTGAGACATTTCACAATCAAGCATGTGGGATTGCTGCTTGATTGTAATGAAACAAACGCTAGAAACCAACCATGTTCCTTTGTCGGTGCCATCACCCTCAATATTTGAAACTCTCCTTAAATATTAAGAATGAGGTTATAATTACAATGTGCTTTGATTATATATGAATGGATGGTTCTATGGGAAGGATTAGCCTCCTCAGATAGGAATTTGCGATTTCTCAAATATAAAATTACTCTGGGGACTCTAGAATAATGCAGGCTGATGCCTGTTCAGTAATGGACATGTCATCATCAACCAGAATATTTGGATTCCAATTTTAAAATTCCAATTTTTAAAAGGATTGCTTTCTGCCATCCCCTTTCTTTTGCATTTATTGCAGATTTAGAATAAAAGGCTGATGGGATGGGGAGAGGAGAGGGAGAGATTCAGCAGAAATATTTCAGGCATTACTTTTAAAAAATGATGCTCTTTGAGAATTAAAATTTATTAAATGTATTGCTTTACTCCCATGATTTTGTTAAAAATGAAAAAAAATGAATGCTTGATATATCTGAAAAAGGAACTAATATGGCATTCAGAAAGAGAAAAGAAATGAATGCTAAGATAATTTACTTTTCTCAGTGCATAATAGAATACTGCAGACCCTTTATAAATTGGCTAACTAGTAGGCACATGGATAAGATGTGGTCTTCCGTTAAACGGTCTCCAAAGGTCAGTCAATTCAGGTGACTATTAAGGTTCAAGGGGAAAAAATATATTTTTTTTAATCCAAAATGATGCACATGATTAAAATTTAGAAATTATTTGGCTGCAGCCCAAACCAAGAGCAATTTAATCCATCATATTCAGCTAGATTTTTGAATCAGGCAGCCACCACAGAAATGGACTGGCCACCAAAAGCCTTAGAAATTTCCTTTATTTCCTCCTCTTCATCTGTTGTGAAACTGCCCTTTTGATATTGGAAATTTGATTTTTCTGTCTTAAAAATTATCAGATTGGCTAATTTTTTATGTTACCTTATTGTTTTTTTCCCAATAAACAACTACTGGTTTTATTTGTGAATTAAAAAAAAATAAATGATTCTTTCTTTGGGTCAGGCAGGCAGTCAATTAAGCATTTATTAAGTACATACTATGTGCAGGGCAGCTATGAGGCATAGTAGATCGAGTGCTGGGCCTAGAGTCAAGAAGACTCCTCTTCATGAATTCAAATCTAACTTCACACATGTATTAACTATGTGACCCTGAGCAAGCCATTTAACCTTGTTTGCCTTAATTGCCTTAATCATTGGTAAAAAATGAGCTGGAGAAGGAAAAGGCAAGCCACAGTATCTCTGCCAAGAAAACCCCAATGGAGTCACAAAGGGTTGAATAAGAACATGTACAGGGCACTTCGAGAAGCACCAGGGATACAATAAAAGGTAAAAGATAGTCTCTGCTCTCCGGTCCACAGAGGAGACAATATGAAAACAACTTATGTACAAGCAAGACATATAAGGATAAATGGGAGATAATCAGCAGAGGACAAAGAAGGTGAGATTTTAGCTAGAACTTGGTGGAAGCCGGGGAAGCCCGGCAGCAGAGGCAAAGATGATGAGGCCTGTCAGAGGAGTGGAGGGAAGGAGTAAAGGCAGTGGAGAAGTACACTGATATACAATAAACATTTCAACTACTGAATTCTGTCAAAGAACAGGATTTGCCTGGTGCTCACTCACTGGAAGGATAGCACAGGAATGACCACGCCCATTTCTACCTGGACTTTCCAGCTTAGCTTTAACCTATACTCATCTTTCCTTCGTTTTCCACTCTCTATTTCTTGTTTTGTTTTCTACTCTCTATTTCTTGTTCCCCTTTCAACTAATTATGATCCCACAGTGTTAGGGTAACATGGAGTATTTCATACCCTGAAATTCTACCTGAAAACACACCATGTCCTGTTGAGTATATGGCATGCTAATCATCTCTTTCCGGAAGGTCATTAAATTTATAAAAAGCTACAAATTTTCATCTATCATGTTCCACTT